CTGCCTGAGGCCTTGGGGACCCAACCCCTGCCCAGTGTGAACAGAAGGCAGGACATGGAGTCAAGGAAAATTATTCTGGAGCCTTAAGATTATTGTTGTTTGCCCTGTTGGATTTTGGACTAACTTGGGACCAGTGTTCCCTTTTTTCTTACCTATTTCGCCCTTTAGGAATGGGAATATCTATCCTATGACTCTCCCACCATTCTATTTTGGAAGTAGATAACCTGTTTTGATTTCACAGGTTCACAGCTGGAGGGGACTTGCCTCAGCATGAATCACTGTCACCGCATATCTGATTTAGATGAGACTCCAGACTTTGGACTTTTGAGTTGATGCTGGAACAAGTTAAGATTTGGGACTACTGGGATGGAATGAACAGATTTTGCATGTGTCAAGAACGTGAATTTTGGGGGCTGGGGCAGAATGCTATGGTTTGAGTGTGTCCCTCACAGTTCACGTGCTGGAAACTTAATCCCCAATGCAACCGTGTTGAGAGGTGGGACTTTTAAGAGGTGATTAGGTCATTAGGGCTCTGCCTCAGGAATGAACTAATGCTGTTATTGCAGGAGTGGGTTCCTGATAAAGGGATGAGTTTGGCCCCCTTCCCCTCTGTCATGTGCTGTCGTGCCATGTCATGTTTTCCACCAGAGGGTGATGCAGCAAAAAGGCCCTCACCAGATGTGGCTCTCCAATCCTGGACTTCCTGGCCTCCAGAAGTGTGAGCCAATAAACTGCTATTGTTTATAAATTACCCAGTCTGTGGTATTCTGTCATAACAGCACAAAACAGACTAAGACACTCACCTACTCCAATGGCTTTGATTTCACCCCTGTAGTGGATTGAATTATGTCCCCCCCAAACTCCCTGAAGCTTGAATTGTGTCCCTCCAAGTTTTATGTATTAGAAATTTAGCCCCCACTGTGACTGTTAAGAGGGTGGGAAATCCTATTATGGTAATTGAACAGTGGAGCCTTGAAGAGGTGATTGGACTGTAGGACCCTGCAGTAGTGAGTGGATTAAAAATAGTGGTCATGGGCTGGCCCGGTGGTGCACTTGGTAGAGTGCGGTGCTTGGGAGTGTGGCAGCGCTCCTGCCGAGGGTTTGGATCCCATACAGAGACCGGTCCGCTCACTGGTTGAGCATGGTGCGGGTGCAACACCGAGGGTTGTGATCCCGTTACCGGTCACGAAAGAAGACAAAAAGGAAAAAAAAATAGTGGTCAGGGTTGTGGTTCTGAGGGTTTTAAAAGGAGAGTCTGTCTCTCTCTCTCTCTCTCTGCTTCTACCATCTTGCAATGTGAGTCCCCTGGGTCACTGTCGCCACCACCAGATGGACTTTTTCTTTATAAATCCAGTCTCAGGGATTTCGTTATAGCAACACAAAATGGACTAATACAGAAAATTGGTACAAGTGGGGTGTTGCTTATAACAAATACTTGAAAATGTGGAAGCAGCTTTGGAACTGGGTGTTTGGCAAAGGTTGGAGGAGTTTGGAGGACTCAGAAGAAGACAAAGAGATGAGGGAAAGTTTGGAATGTCTTAGAGACTGGTTACGGGGTGTTGAGCAGAATGCTGATAGAAATGTGGACTGTAAAGACCCTTCTAAGGAGGTCTCAGATAGGAACAACAAGTTTATCAGAAACTGGGGCAAAGATCACCCTTGTTGTGAACTGGCAAGGAATTTGGCTGCCAAAGAGATGAGGGAAAGTTTGGAATGTCTTAGAGACTGGTTACGGGGTGTTGAGCAGAATGTTGATAGAAATGTGGACTGTAGAGACCCTTCTAAGGAGGTCTCAGATAGGAACAACAAGTTTATCAGAAACTGGGGCAAAGATCACCCTTGCTGTGAACTGGCAAGGAATTTGGCTGGATTGTATCCATGCCCTAGGAATTTGTGGAAGTTGGAACTTAGGAGCTGTGAACCAGAGTATTTAGCAGAAGAAATTTCAAAGCAGCGAAGCATTAAGGAAACTGCATGGCCACTTGTGAAGCCTACACTGAGTTATGGCGGCAAAGGCATGACATAAAGCCAGAATTTAAAAGGGAAGCAGAGTGTAAAGATTTGGAAAATTTGCAGCCTGGCCATGTGGGAGAGAAGCAGAGAGCATTTTCAGAAGGAAAACTCAATGGTACTAAGACTAACACAAAAGAAAGGGATTATCAAGAGAAGGGGGAAAGGGCCCTGAAGGCACTGCAGAAGCTTCTGGGGCTAATCCTTCCATTTCAGACCCACAGGTCTAGGGAGACAGAATGGTCTTAGGGAATGGTCCTGAGGTGCCCTCCATGAGCTCACTGCTCAGGGACACCTTGGGAAGCTGCTTCTGGCACCAGCACTCCAACTGCTTTAGCTGCTCCAGCTGTAGCTAAATTGGCCCTAGGTGTGACTGGACCTGCAGCTTTGGAAAATACAAGCTGGAAGCCTTGGTGGTATCCACATGGTGTTAGGTCTGCAGGCTTGCAGAATGCTAGAGCTGTGGAGGCTTGGGAGCTTCCACCCCAATTTCAGGGGACGTATGGAAAAGTCTGGGACCCAGGAAGAGATCTGTCACAGGGGCAGATTCACTGCATAGAGTCTTTGCTAGAGCAATGACAAGCAGAAATGTGGGGTCAGAGTTGCAGCAGAGAAACCCCAATAGGGCCATGCCTAGTGGAGCCCTGAGAGCGGGACCTCCACGGAGACTCCAGACCTGTGGAACTACCAGAGTAGAATGCCAGCCTGGGAGAGCTGAAGTGTGGCCTGAGACCAGGAAAGCCATAGGAGCAGAGCTGCCTGAAGACTTGCGGACCCAACCCCCACACCAGCATGCAGAGGAGGTCGAACGTGGAGTCAAGGTCCCTGATTCACTAGCATTGAGATTTAATGCCTGCTCTGCTGGGCTTCGGACTTGTTTGGGACCTGTTACCCTTTTCTTTTGGCTGATGTCTCCCTTTTGAAACAGGAATATGTACCGTATGTTTGTCCCACCATCATATCTTGGATGTAGACAACTTGTATTGATTTCACAGATGGGACTTTAAACTTTGGACGCTTCAGTTGAAACAAGTTAAGACTTTGGGGATGAAGAATGTATTTGCATGTAAAAAGGACGTGAGTTTTGGTGGGCGAGGAGAGGAATGTAGTGAATTGAATTATATGCCCCCCAAACCCTTGAAGCTTGAATTGTCCCCCAAGTTTTATGTATTGGAAACTTGGCCCCCACTGTGACTGTTAGGAGGGTGGGAAATCCTATTATGGTAACTGAAAGGTGGAGCCTTGAAGAGGTGATTGGACTGTAGGACTGTACAGTAGCAAATGGATTAAAAATGGTGGTCAGGGGTGTGGTTCTGAGGGCTTTAAAAGAAGAGGAGAGTCTTCTTCTCTCTCTGCTTCCACCATCTTGCAATGTGAGACCCCTGGGTCACTGTCGCCACCACTGGATGGACTCTGGACTTTCCAGCCTCAAAAACTGTAAACAATATCATTTTTCTTTATAAATCTCCCAGTCTCTTATAACAAAATGTCATAAGCAACAAAACTAGACTAATACAAGCCCACAGTTAAGACTCTCAAATCTTGCCCTCCCAACCCCAAATACATAATAACTGCTCAACAAATATTGAAGAAATGCAATTTCATTCCAGCTACGCTAAGGGTGACTGCTCAGGGTCTCAAGCTGGTACCTGCCCTCTGGTGTTTCTGAGTGCACCTAGCAAAGCCCTGCTTCCCCTCAGCAGAGCAGACTCAACAGGGTGGGCTGCTCCCAAAAGATAGAAGTCACTGTCTACTGCAGTTTAGCAGAAAAACTCACAGATCTGACAAGGATCTGCAAATAGACTGACCTTTCAGAACAATTCCAAAGCCATCTCCATAAGCCTGCAGCATGTTTTCCCCCTCCAAATTAACACCTTTCCAACTGTCTCCATGACCATTTCCAAGCTTAACATCCTGGGGAAATGAGTGGCAGAAGTGCAGGAAGACAGAGAGCTGGGGGCAGCATTAGTGGGAGACTCCCTTCCCAATTCTGGCCACTCGTACTCCCTGCCCCTTCCTACCAATCCTGGTGCTCTTTCTGAAGCAGCAAAACTCACTTCTCTTCTGGGCTCCATCTCTAGCAAACACATGCAATGCCCATGTGCTCCAGGACATGAGGAAGTAGAAAGCTGGAGACCTAAACTTCCCTTGCATGTGACGGTCACACTGAGGTTGACAGCTTGTTTGCACCTTGCTCTGAGTGCCACTGGGTTCTGCAGTACACGATGAGGTGCATGTCAGTGACAGGAAGTTGAGAAACAAGTGACACAAAAGATCCAGGCAAGCTAGCTGCCCTTGGCTACTGGAAAGTAGAGAGAAACCTCTCTGTCTGCACTGGGAACCCAAGTTTGGGTGGATATTTCAATTAGGAATGTCCTCACCAAGAGTGGATGCAGCTCATCCTGAAACATAACTGGTGACAGAGCCAGGGGTTCACACTGACTTCTGAGAACCATGCTCGGTGCTAGAAAAATGAGCGCAAGCAACTTGCTCAGGGCCACTTGGATACTCAGAGTTGAGAACTCAGGTTCCCTGATTCCTATGCCAGTTGTTATCTCCTTCCAACTAGGTTGCCACAGTACCAGCGAGGAAGAAGGACCCGCACCCGTTCTGGACACGCCGGTTTGGTGCAATATGGTGAGGGAAAAAAAACAGGTCATCAGGAATCATTAATGATTGGGTTGCAAAAGCCCTCAAATGTTATTTTGTTCCATGTTGAGGGCAAAAGACTTGAGTTCAAGGGCTAGGAAGGGATGCGGTTTAAAAGTAGCCTTCCTACTGAGAAAAACACCGAGTGTTTGCCCTCTGTTCTTTTAAAGTGAGTGACACCAGATGTAAGAGGAGACCAGGACCCAGAGAACTCAACACTCATGGATACCAAAAAGCTTTGGAAACTTTCTGATTTTACAGATTCTGCTTTACATGAAAACTTCGTGGAGAAAGTCACCGCTTTGATCTTTTCTTCTCAGATACAGTGAACACTGGCCAAATTGTTTTAATTTCCGAATTTATTAAAATGATTAACCTCAATACTGCAAGTGCATGTACAAAATATTTGTAAAAAATGTTTTTAATGAAACATTAAAGAACTTACCTCAAATGCTGAAAAAGTCCTTTTTCATTCTTTCAGTACAAGGAATACATTGTATCTCAAAAGTATTACAACTCAGCAAAACAATTTAAAACAGTAATTTGAAAAATGATTGAAAATTGAATACTTTACATATACTTCTACGATCATTTCCTAATTCTTATAATGCCAAAATCTTTACCAATCATTGCATAAGCTCAAGCTATAAGTTTTATTGAATGCAACCTCTTCCAAACTGGTCAACCGTGTGTGGATGTCACCATTCCACACACTAGTCCTACAGCAGATCTAGAACAGTTCTGAGGCCCCCACCTTGCAAAACGGAAATCAGGTTTCCCTAGAAGGCATCAGCAGCAGCTGCTGAGTGCTTGTGCATACCAACTCCTGAGAGGCAGTGATTGGTTACCAAATGTCACTGCTCTGAGACCCATGGGAAGGTCAGCCTCAATAGACGAGGCCACAATAATATTAAAACAAACATCATAAATAAGTTACTAAAATTAAGCTTAAAAATGGAGAAAAATGGGAAATGTGTTATTTTTTCCTTAAGAGTGAAATTCCTGAAATGGCTATTGTTGGTATTCAAATAAACAGTTCAAGAGTTAGTCTCTGAACCTCTCCAAAACACCCTGAACTGAGGTGGGAATAAAAGAGGTGACCCACTGTCCTCCGGCACCCTCCAGACACGGGGTCTACCCTTCATCTTCCTCACCGGCACAGCTCTCACTACGCCTAGGAAGGGACCCCATGAGGACAGAAGGTGGTCTGTAAAGTGCTGGGGGGCCTCGGGACAGGTGCTCCTGAGAGACTGTGTGGGGAAGGAAGTCGACCACATGCTTCCAAATTAATACCTGAGGAATTAGACTGCACCGTAACCAACGAGGACAAGACCAGAGAAGGGACAGAAGGGGCTCCTTACAGAACACGAGGAGAAAATCTAAGTTTTAAAAACTTGTTTTCATGAATCTTATTAATTTCCATTTGGAACCTGCTAGCAATAGTTTTAAGGAAATTTAATTTATATAAAGTCTCCCAAACCTGGAAACTGGTAGGAATTGATTAGTAATAAGTGAGCACTGAGGTTCTCCCCACTGGACTTTTCATTATCTGCAGATTCCTTTTAATATTTTTAGACATGGGCTACTTTTCTACAGACACTACACAAATCCCATAAATTGATTTTACTTAGGAACACTGGATATCTGAAAGTACATGTACACATTTCCCAGAAATAAAGAGACCCACTGGTGTCAAACACCTGTTAGATTTATATTCCTAAATTCTTTGTGCAGTGATTTGTAAAATAATCCAGAGAAATGAAAGAGCCTAGTATTGAACATTAAGTAGTAATCAAAATTTGCTCATTAAGTTACTTAAAATTAATTTCTCTTCTGAAAGTGCTTCAAAAAACAAATTAAATCTGACTCCTTTTTGTTTAACTGATAATATAGTCAAAAAATCTTTGATATTTTCATAATAAACTAACATAAGCCAAGAATTCCCACTGATGCAGTGCTTAAAACTATATATTTATAATTTCCTATTTTATTGGCATGAATATTCCTAAACTTAAAAACCTTCCTGGTAAGTTCTTTTAATTTCTTATGACAAAAATTTCTCACAACACACAAATATTTACAACATATACATTGTTTTCAGTTCTTTACACTGAATTTCAAAGACAAACATTTTTAGAGGTTACCACAGAACAAAAGCTGTGACTCATGTTTTTATTTCATAAACTATCATAAGTTAAAGTGAATAGACTTTTTTAATATTCCTTGTAGCATTTTACAAGTGCAACAGAAGACTTGAAGGACCAAATTAAGATCGCTGTAGTTCATTAGATAAATGTTGCTTGTTGTCATCACATTGTTCACAGCAAATTTTTGAAAAAATAAGCACCAATCATTCTTGCAAAGAACAATTTTATCTAAAAGGATTGAAAAGTGTTAAATACAAGGTCTTTAATTTACATGACAAGCAATAAATACACAGTATCGAAACTCATCCTGCACACTGCTACCCTTGCACATACAACGTACTGAAAAGTGAGTTGTCACGCATGTATAGTTTTTTTTTTTTTTTAAGAAACCAATTTGACTCTCAACCAATGGTTTGCTATGTTACCAAAGGCCACAAACAGTACACCTGGGCCCGCAAACAGTGTGAAACTGACAAAACTCCGAGGAGGAAACATCTAGCAAATAAATCAAAAGCCAAAGATCATTGCTGGTGATATTAGCATATACTAGAAAACCTTAATATGCTGCTACTATGATTTGTTTTAAATTATTGTTTAGTCATATATTAAAGAGCCAGCTGATGCTCTTAAAGTTAAAAAAAAAAATGTGTAGCCACATTATTGTTTTCAACGTCCTGTGTGGAAAGTTGCTATCACTGTACAATTTTGCTTGAGCTTTTATTTTACAACAGGGCTTTACCTCTAACTCAGAATTGCACGTAAGAAGGCTATTTAAAAAGTACGATAAAAATTTACACAAATCAGACTTAAGTCAGTACACTGTACACTTTCTACAATATTATGCTGATAAGTGAAGAGACAATAGAAGTGCTGTCACTAAAATGTTTCAGTTGAGGAATAATTGACTGGAATTTTTTATTTCCTTAAAGTAGTTATCCCATGTCAAATTAAGACAAAGAGCTTATGCGTTAAGCCTTAAAGACTGATCTTCTCTTCTCCTTGAAGAAATGTCAATATCTATAGAGTCTTTTCCAACTATTAGCCTCAATCGCTTAGCTGGAGGAAGAGGAATAAAATCATCTTCAAAGTCATCATCATAGTCTTCCTCCTCTTCATCTCCCTCTGAAGAGGAGGAGTCACCTGTACTTTCTTCCTCGTACTGACTATAGTCACCCACTTCCATTCGAGACTCCAGGAGAGAAAGGGGATCGCTACAGCACATGCCATTTTCATGAAGCCCCTCTGTATAGGACCCCCTACTCTCCTCGTCCCGTTTTAGCTGGATTTTCAATTTTGTAGAACTACTGCCTGATCCTGAGTTAAACCCATTATTAAGCTTTGCTACATAGAGATTACTATCATTTTCGTGGTCTTTACTTAACTTGATGCTTATTTTTGAAGAATTCATTCCATCATTCTCTTGGTCATTTGTCTTGCTGCTGCTATCATGACGCCTACGAAGAGTCAATTTGGGAATCCCAGAGTTATTTTCTAGGATTAACTGTGCATCATACCTTGTGATTCGCCTTTTCTTTTTACTTTTTGCAGTTCTAAAACTGTCTTTTGTTTTGAAGCTGTCTGACGTAACAACTGAACACCCTACAGGTGAAGGAGCACAGTCTGTGTAGGTCACAGGCACACCGCCTGTGCCGCTGTGCTCCCCCGGGTCAGAACGGGGCCCCATCAACTCTGGCACCAAGCTGTCTTTTCCAAGGGAATCATGCACCGGAGTGGAGTCCTCTAGCTTTGCAAACTGTTTCACAAGTCTTCCTTGTCTTGGCTTCTTTTTGGACATGCCAGTGTCACCCTTATGACACTTTGCTTCCCCCTTTTGTGCAGTTTCATGAGCCAGATCTTCCTCCTGCACCATGGGAGCTGGCAGCTCACCACCATCCAGGCAAGGTTCCATCATGCTGCTTTTACAGTCATCCGATGTGTTTGGTTCAAGCCTGATGTCAGAGGCCTCCTTCAGACTGGTTCTTGTCCTCACTGATCGCCTGGTCGTGTAGGTGCAGGGTGAGCCCTCCCCCTGCGAATGAGCACCTCTCACGGGATTCTGTCTGTGTTCTCTTGCTGCGTGTCTAGTCAAGCACCCACTAGCAACTGCAGCTTGGGCTGGTCCCTCCGGCTCCTTATCTTTTTTAATGGGCAAATTTTTATACAGAACTACTTTAGGCTCTTTAAGTACTAAATTTCCCATTTCGAGTTTTCTTGAAGCACTCTTTTGCTCCAGCCGCTTGCAATGGTTTCTTAACTTTATCTTTGAAAGTAAAGGCTTTGCAGGCTTTTTCAGTTTCTTTGGTACCCTGGAATTATTTATATGCGTTAGCTTAGATGAGGTAGAGTTGGAAGAAGCTGGAATTCTTGACATAGACTGCCTCGTTAATGTTCTGCTCTTGCTGTTCTTTTTTACACCAACTGAAGATTTTCGGTTAGAAGCTGTAAGGTTAAAAAAAAGAGGGGGCGGGGGATGAAAAAAAGCCTTGGTAACACAGTAGTGTTCAACAAAACAATACCAACCCAGACTCAGCTATAAAATGTTGAGATTACACAAATGTGGACAACAGACCCTACCCCCAGTTCAGATTTTGCCAGCACATGAATTATTCCCCACACTGCTTTTAAGTTCTCCTTCCAACTTACAGAGCATTTATTCATTTTTAAGGTAAGTAATTTCATGGTTAAAGAGCTCTTAGCACAGTAGGGACCTAGATTTCATTCTAAGCTTCTCCTTAATCAGTCTTGATGTTGGTCCAAACTAAGTGTTTCTTCTCCTGACTTAGTATTTTTCCAGACAAAAGATTTGAAGAAAAGCTAAGTAAAAATCAGTTTTTTCTTCCAGAAATTCCTCTTAAAATCATCACTTTGAATATGTTTCTAAAATCCATTCCTCATTAACCCAAAGTAAACATGTTACTTGGCCAGTAGCAATGAACAGACATGTATTACTAATGGGCTCTAAGAGACAAATTCTATCACAATGGTTTCAAATAAAAATAGATCCTAAGAACGATATACTGTCGCTCCCAAAAGACCTTTAACAAAAAAGAACTGCACTATTGTAAGCTGTCTCCTTCAACTGTGGAGACCAGAAGAGACAATGGGTGGGCTGTCACTTTAGAAGAGCTGCAGAACTTACTTGGCTCCATCTCATCAGTGACTGCCTGATGCCAAAAATCAAACCAAAAGGATGCTGCTAGAATTATACACTCTCAGGACAAAGGGGACCCAACTTCTTTCCTCTAAGATAAGGATACAAAAAGATGCAATGATCCTAATGGTAATGACAACCTGAGAACATGGACAGTTGAATGGCTTCTCAAACGGGCTTTATGTGTGATTCAAGCTTAAGCTGCTCCCATAGTTACTCTCTGACCTAAGAAATGACTTTCTGTTATTTTTTCTCTACATTTACATTCTGGACTTTTATTTATAGTTTTACATGAGTCAATTTCTCAATTACTTAGTTCCCTCATCCCCCAGTCAAAAATCATCTTCCTGATTAATGTCCCTTTAAAAGTCATCCACTAGGGAAGCTGAGATGACCAAACTAATAGTCACAACCTCTCACCAGAAACAGGACAATAAAAACAATGAAAACGGTTAAGCCCAGCACACTGCCTGCCCAAGTATTAGGATCCTCTGGACAGTCTCTGTTGCTTTCTACATGCCTGAAGGTTGCCAGGGTAACTGCCATTCCTTCTGCACAGCTAAGCAGGTAAGTTCCCACCAGTTAATTTTTATTTATGAAAGAGGAGCAAGAATGCATAACAAGCATTCCAAAAATATCAAGCCACCAAGAAAAGAAGGCTCTGTACTCAGAGACTGGCTCATAAATGGCTTCGGAATTCACAGCAATGAGATCCACTGATTGAACCAAGAACATACTTATAAATGTGGGCTGCTACCAAGGAGGCAACTAACTTATTTTTAGAATAGTAGGAGTAGTGAAGTTTGAATACTATTCAATGTGAGAGTGAGTGATTTACTGTGAACAGGAATGATACAAAACTACTTGACAAATTATTATTTTTTTAATATAAGGATATTAAGGGAATTCTTTTTTGCAAATAATTTATGTTTGCCTACAAGGAAGACTGAGTAGATGTATTGTCAATATAAACACACGCTAGTGTTCTGGTTGTTTCTAGGCAAAACTCAGGAAAAGACTGCATTTGTCTGATGACCATTTGCTTGGCTTTTTCAAATGTCCTTTGCTTACCCAATGCTTCTTCAAGGACCAATCTATGACTAAGCTTGGTGGTTCTCAACCTTTTTTCTCTTTCTATACCATTCTCATTACATAACTGCAATCATCCCTACGTAATGTCACATACACTGTCACCCCTACAATGATCAAATATACATCATATTCTCAACAGCAATCCCCTTGCAATCTGGATCAGGCCTGACCCTCCAACGACAGCCTTTGCCAATCGGATAACCTCCTCGTCATGAAATCCAGTGAACACTTTTCAGCTCTTCCCTGTTTTCATTTCTCTGAACATGACATTGATAACCATTTTCTTTTTCTTGTGAATCCCTCTTCCCTTGGCTGTCAGTGAGTGCTCTCTCCCAGGTTTCCTTCTGTTCCTGGTACTTCTCCATGTGCCATTCAGACTGTCAATGCACGGGACTCTACCGTTCCAGGCCCTTTGGAAACTCCACACACATTCTCTGGGAGATAAGCATCTAACCCGCCATGGCTGTCACCACTAACATGCTAATGGCTCCCTAACCACTTCCTCTAGCTCAATTCTCTCCTAAATTAGAGATCCAGATCACCAAGTCCTACTGAGGCAGTCTCGTAAGCCCCTCACACTGTCAACATGCCTAAACTGAACTCACCATCAAGCCTCCTGGAAGCTTCTTCTTCTGAGTTATCCATCTGGCTCAATACCACCACCTGTCCAGCTGCCCAAGCAGAAACCTGTCATCCTTGATTCTTGCTTTCCCTAACTGCTTCATCCAATCACCACATCCTGTGGAGTCTGCCCCTGCTATGTCACTGGAACCCATCTCCTTCTCTCTGCCCCAAATGCCACAGTCTGCCTGAGCTACGGCAGTTTTCCTGTCTCTCCTATTGCCCTCCCAACAATCCATTCTCTATCATGTAGTCAGAATGATTTCTCCAATACATCATGTCACTTCTGGGCTTTAAACCTTTCCATAACCTAATGCCTTAAGAATAAAGTCCAAAATTTTAAGCTATGGTCATGTCCCTTCTTTTCACTTTCTACCCCAGTCATGAAGTCAACTGTACTTGTTTGAGTCCTCCACTTATCCACACACTCGTGTGAAAGTCCCTCTACTTTAAATATGCTTCACTTGTCCAACTGCCCGTTCTCCTTTAAGTCTCAGCTTAGGTGACAGCTCTCCCACGGAGACTTTCATGACTTCCTCTGTAAGACTGGGTGTCCTTCCTATGTATTCTCACAGCACCCAAGAATCTCCTTACTTGGCACTTATTTTAATCCATTAGATGAATCCCATTTTATGGCAATTCTGAATCTGGGATCTCCCCATCCCATCCCTCCTTCCAAAGATTCACTGCTGGCAACAGTACACCACTCGCAATGTTTATACTCTAAAACTGAGCACAAAAAAATAAACATAAAACAAAAATTTTTTAAAAAACTGAGCACAAAATGGACTGTATTTGATACTATATATTACTTCAATATAGATATTTCACTTACAGGTTTATGTATTTATCAATGTATTCTCATTTTGTTCGAAAAACTTTATCTTATCGAAAGCAGTCTAAAGGTATGCTCATCAAGTCAAAGGCCAAAAAAAAAAAAAAGAATGAAATAAGCAAGAGAAAGTAAGAAATGTGACTAAGATGACAGTCCAGTAGTGTGTCAAGAGTCCTTCAATGTCCAAAGAAGGTGATATACTGTCCTTGCGGGGACTGAGAATTTCAGTGGCAGTAAGGCTAAAGAAGGAAGACGATGGCCACAACAACAAACCAGAAGTCAATTATTTTCTAACAGTGTATCAAGAGACTAAGGATTCTGAGGTAAGTGGAGATAAAGTATGCCTGTGGCTTCAGCACTAACACACCTTGTGAGATTGTCTTTTCCTAGTGGCTGGGACAAATGTCAAATGCATAAACCTGCAGAGTAATTTTAAGTGGAGGACACATTCTTCTTAGCAATTACTATATACTAAGTGCTGTGCCAAATGGCCAAATTATGATGATCTCAATTCTAATGAGCACTCGTGGAAGAAAGTTTTATCACACCTACGTGAAAACCAAGCTCACATGGACTAGCACACCTAAGATCATCCATCTTAGTGATTGGCAGGGATGGGATTTAAACTTATTTAGGCCTGTGGCTCAAGACCCCAAGTTTTTAATCACTTATGTTGCCTGTAAAGTACACCACAGTATTATTATGGTCTCAGATTGGTCTCATGGGTAAAGAACCCACTGCATGGCTATCATGTTTATTTCAGGGTGTCCTCAAAATTGTAAGGCAGCCACACATGAGAGCTGCAAAAAGAACACCAAAGCCTTCTTGAGTGCTCAGGGTGCACTGGAAATGCACACTATCAATGGGAACCAAGATAATACAAGGGCCATACACAGTTTAGCATCTTCAGAACTTGAGTATCCAGAAAACCCCCAACAGAACCTTTAAAGAACTCAGTCTCAGAGTTTACTAGGCACAAGCAGCTTTCATCTGACATGACCAACAGACTGGCAATGGCTACTTGGAACAGGGCATTGGAAGGGACTTTGAAGCAGCCTGCAGTCTTAGCAGAGAAGTGTTCAGATCAGTTAGTGATGTCAGTGGCAGGCAAGGGCGTGAGAAGCGGTGTCCCAGCGTCTATTATCTAGGACAGGTCCTCCTTAGTAAGATGAACTTCTCCCACTGGCTGAGTCCTTCAGGGCTTGTCCTGACTTTTGGCGTTTGCACTGACTGTGTCCACATCTCCATGTACTGCTCTTGAGAACCTTCTGGTCTCACATTCCCTTTCATAGCACCAACTATGAGGGCAGCCCAGTCAGTGAGGAACAGAGACTTGAAAAACTAGAACCCTTCAATAACAGTACTGTAACTCAGACTTGCGGACTGAGTTTGTGAAAATCGATTTCTTATTATCTCCACTCCTGGATGCTACAGCAAACAGTCAAGCTGTGGCTTTCAAAACATCTTCCAAAAAAGGACTTGCATGGAAGGAAGAAATAATTTTTCTTCCAAGTAGGCAGAAATGTTTCTTTATACATGCTGTTCAAAGGAAGTAGTTCCTCTGTCAGCTGCTAAATTCTAAACAAACTGCAGGATAAAGATAAGCAGCAAGGAAAAAGAACTCCATTTCTATACACATGATGTACGCCCACTTCCTGTGAGAGGAGCTCTGGCAGCTCTGGCTTTTCTACCAGCTGCAGTTTGAAAAAGCCTTTCTTTCAAACAGGCAGAAGGGTATGGTTGTGAGACAAACACCAAAAGAAATACAGCCTACAAGAACACATGTAAGAACTGAAGAAATTCCTATGTGAACACAATTTAATGTACAATGCTCTCAGGGAAGTCTGAAGCCTCGAGCTCCTTCACGGCATTGTGCCTTGTCTATCAACTCTGCCCATGACCTCAAAGTTAGTTACACCAACCCTCCATTACTCCAAACAGTCATACTGCAGAAAGGTAATTTAAACAAGGCAAGAACCTCACGTAAGTAGTCACAGCAAGTGCTGTAGATCTAGTCAGTCATGCTCGAAGAGGCTGTTTCCTGCCTGTGCACTTGTCTCATCCTGCAGCCAAGGTGTGAGCTCCCTAGGACCAGCCCGAGTCTCCCACATCTGAGTCTCTTTAAGAACGAGCAGGCTTTGAATAAGTATTTGGTTTGGGGTTTTTTTTTTGGCAGCTGGCCCGTATGGGGATCTGAACCCTTGACCAACTGAGCTAACTGGCCAGCTTAGAATATGGCTTATTAAGTATTTCCTGGATGGTTACAAATTAGTACAGTCAACACCCTCCAAAATTATTTGTATTTTGGTCTTTTAAACTAAGTGCTGGGCTGGCTGATTAGCTCAGCTGGTCAGTATGGTGTTAATAACACGAAGATCAAGTGTTCAGATCTCCATACCAGCCAGCAAATCTCCTCCGTCCCCCCCAGCAAAAAGGGAAAAAATAAACTAAGTGGTGTACTGAGCTCAGTATCTATACACTAGTGATAAAGTTAATGCACAAAAACACAAAACGAGCCCACGTACATTGCAGAGCCATTCAATGTGGGCAACTTTGCAGCCGTCTCCACATACGGATGGCAGCACACATTGGTGTTTTTATATATGCATTTATAAAATGGGTTTCCCAAGTCTCCAGTTTCACCAAGGAACCAAACTCAGAAAACAAATGTTCATTACGCTGCATTTATTATCAGAATCAACAGTCAACAGTGAATTATTAACTAACTCTACCTTTTTTCTTTACTTTGGACATTAACTAAAATGACTGGAATAGGACTACAGTATTGCTTTTACACTACAAAGGTTACACCTGGCCTCTGACTCCAAGCAGCAGGTAGATTCAGGAATTCACGGCAGTGACATTCACCTTCAGGGGAGTCACCTTCCCCTTTCTTCAGGATTTTCTGTACAGATAGGGAGCATCCAGTGCTGGGCTGAAAACATCTGAAGGTAGGGAGAAGAGTCTAAAATAATCAGTATCTCAGTGGGCTCTTAAGTGCTAAGAAGTCTCACAGGACATTTACAGTGCCAACACAGGCATACTTTTGCGATCACTAAGTCAAAACTTTATAGCTTTTGTCTCTTTCAGAGACAAGTCAGACTGAACAGCCTATTGCTTTAGTGGCAACTAGAGAAAACTGGTGCTACCCAGATGAAAAACAGCCATTAAAATGGTTCCAGTACTTCGAATCACCACAAACGTGTTGTGTTTTCCTTTGCCCGTATAGGTCTTCTTCTCTTTTCTGTGTTTATTCTTCATTCTCTTTTTCCAGTTTCCATTAGATCTTGTCCCCACACACGACTGGGTATCTCAGAGCTTGCTCCTTTCTCCTTTTCATCTCTCTTGCTAATTCTGTAGTGGCTAATATAACACACCATAATACAGCGACATTCAACATGCTCCTCTACCACAATCCTGAGTCTGATAACTAGTTGTTTGGTGAACTGGATCGTTTTGAAAAAGGTAAGCAAGCGGTAAAAAGGTGGAGACCTTGAGGCCAGAAGCTAGGAACTCCCCAAAGTCCGTCATCTTTCTCTAACAGACTAGGCACACACTCAAAACATGTATGAGCCTATATGACTCTGCCCGATCCTTTATCTTTTTGTAGAGTCTAATGATATCATTACAGTGTCACTAACACTTTGAAAATGTTTTCCTCAAACATATGACGACTCTGGAACACATGATGAAGAATTCAATATCCAGTTACCAAGTATTCAAGAAAAATAGTCTAGAGTACAGCACTGAATGTGGAGGTGGGATACGGACTGTGCTGTTGTACTGAAATCATTTCCAGAACCTTGTGGTGCTGCCAGGGCTCATGAGTATCAGTTTCTCTCAATACTTCTAAGTTTGAAACTCTTGAAACACGCCTTAGAAAGCAAATTGTGTGAAAATACTTAAAAAAAAAAAAAAAAAAAAAAAAGCTTATCAAATCTCCCTTACTTACTTGCATTGTTTTTTTCCTGAGTGGTATCTGCATCAGTGTTAGAGCTGACAGATTGACTGTCTGAATTTTTGCTGCTGTCACCTAACTTTTTAAGCCTATTTAAACGTTTATCTGTTTCTCTGAGTCCATATTTGCTATTGATAACAGGAGCAGGCGCAGGCAGTCCCACTCTGGATTTAAAAGCACCAGTTCCCCGTCTGAAAGAGAAAACAGCAGAGGTTATACAAATAGAGCACACTTAAAATAAACTTGGTTGCTGATCAGGTCAACAGATGTGATGAACTGATGAGACCTCAATCTCCACTGGAAACCTGCCAAGTCTAGGACTCTGAAAAGAAATTAAATTTGTATACAATAAAATTAACTTTAAAAACTCTACACTTAACAAGAAAATTTGTTATGACTATTGTCAACCAACTGTCAATTGCCTATGAGAAACTACTGAACCTTGTAGAATTTCATGTGTAGATAAAAATAAGGAAATTCTTTAACTTCAAAAATGGTTGACACAATGGTTAGGTCTAAATTGTAGCTTAAAAAAACACCTATTAATTATATTCCAGCTTTGGTCTGCACAATTTAACATTACATTACTGAATATTGGGAATTAAGAAATTACAAGAAATCATATTACTTGATACTTTATTATGAAAAGAAAAAAAATCATAGAATTTTCCTAAATTAAGTCATTACTTAGAACTTTATGTTAAATAGAAACAAATTCTAAATGAAATTCTGTGTAAAAAGGTGAGGTTATTATTAGTGAAAATCTTTCTCCTGGAACAATAAAAACTGTTAATAATTCCTTTAAAGTTTCTGAAATAATGGGCCGGCCCGGTGGCACACTGCTACAGTGCGCCGCTTGGGAAGCGCGGCGGCGCTCCCACCGAGGGTTCGGATCCCACATACAGACCGGCCGCTCACTGGCTGAGCGAGGTGCAGGCGTAACACCAAGGGTTGCGATCCCGTTGCCGGTCCCGGTCCGGTACGGGCGCGACACTGAGGGTTGCGATCCGTTGCCGGTCACGAAAAAAGACAAAAAGGAAAAAAAAAAAGTTTCTGAAATAATATAAATGATCATAATTAAATTAACAAAGTGTTACTAAATAAAAGACATTTAAAAGACTTGCTTTCACTACTGGGCAGGAATGATTTGCACCTTGCTTTAACTCTTTCTATTTATACGGGAGCGCCGCCGCGCTCCCAAGTGGCACACTGTAGCAGTGTGCCACCGGGCCGGCCCTATTTATATAAATTCTTCTGAAGTAAAGGAGGGTATTTAATAAGAGGTTCTCCTAAACTTCCCTAATAAACCTAGCTTTGCAAATCTTTGCATTATTCAGTGTTATGAAGGTAAATTTCTACTCAGCTCTATTCAAAAGAATTAAATAAAACTCATTCATTCACCTGCTTCTCTACTTCCCTTATTTCTTCTTCTTAGATTATGAAAGTAATACATGCTCACGCTTGCTACAAGTGAACAGTCCTAGGATGTACGTGGGATCTTCACAAAGTTCACAGAAAGATTTGTATTACCTTGAGCTTTTTGAAGTACCCGGGTGTATAAAGCAAAAGTTAACTGTATTTCCCAACTGCCCTCTTTTCTCAGAGCCCTAAGCACGGTGCTAACCATTTGCCAACGGTGCCATCGTCCACTCCTTCTACCATGATCTACATGCTTATTTACACTGCTGTTTCTTTTTAAGCAAACAGAATGAAACTATGGTAATACTAAACATTTCACTCAGCAACCGGTTTTCTTATTACATTATAGACAAATCAATCTGAACATTTTTTTTTTTTTTTTTTTTGTCTTTTTCCGTGTCCGGCAACGGATAGCAACCCTCAGTGTTGCCCCCGTACCGGACCGGGGACCGGCAACGGGATCGCAACCCTCGGTGCTGCTCCCGTGCCT